GAATATTTTTGGAATATTTCTAACATAATAATTCGGAATATTTTCGGAATATAATTATTATTTTTTTTTTATAGGGTCAGCTATGGCATAACCATTTAACTAGAAAAATAATTCGAATATCTGGTATTAGAAGTTCGCATATTAAGTTTACTGTCAGATACGAAAGTTATTGGTAGTGACTTCATGCATTTAATAACGGCATGTACGTACGTACAGTACAGTACGTGCAATTATTTCAGATAATATTGCATATATGCAACAATTATTAGATTATTTGCATAAATTACTACTGTATATTATAACTTGTAAAAATTAAAAACAAGTTATATAAAGCAATAAATTTTTCAGGCAAATTCGTTTTTGGAGTAAATTTTAAAAAAGGCCTATTAATACGTAACATAATTCATATTATAATGAAACATCAAATTTTTAAATTATTTTTGATTACTTCATATTTATTGACGTTTACTACTTTTGCCAATGCACACAAGCATAAAGCTTTAAATTATTGTGATGCTCCTGGTAGTCCATGTTGGACAAATAAAGTTCATTGGGTAAATTATCAAAATTCTGATCCAATTCTTGGCTATACTGCAAAACAATGTTGTCAATTATGTGTTAACGATCCTAAATGTAAAGAATGGAGTTTTCGCGAAGGTATTTGCTTCAATATTGCCGACAGAAATTTGGGACTTAAAGTTTGTGATCAAATTACAGAGTCAGCTATAGTTAGTTCAGATTCTGGAATTATTCGATGTGACGATGGTTGCTTACCTGAATCGAACAAATCTCAAGACTATGACTAGATATTGGTCTTTTGAACAAAATAAATTACAATTATAAATTATTTTTCACAAATAAAAAAAGATGATAAGATTTTTAGAACAAATTATAAAGATTCAAATTCAAATATTTTTTATGAAATAGCAGTTCGTATTTAATTAAAATAGTTTTCTATAAGTTAATTAGAAATGAATTTATACAATACATAGCAATAGGCTTCAGATATCTTGGTTAGATGTAGTGTTTCGTATGGGGTTATAGACATTAAACCATAACTTTCTAAGGTGGACAGTATACAATGTACTTTTATAATGGATAATTTATTCTGTAAGACGTAAATGTATGGACTTAAATAGATAAGAGACATTATCTTACAAATTTGATACTGGATTTGATATTAAACCTTGTTTAAAGACAAATTTCACTTAGAATAAAATAATTAATTTTCTTAAAGTTCTTTATATTTTATTTGTGAAAAAAAAAGTTCGTAAAAGTCTTTTATTATTCATTTCCCGTTATATATCTGTTCTATCCTTTTTAAATATACAACCTTTGAATTACTCGTAAAAATTATAGTATCCTATTATTCATAACTAATGATGGGCAAACATGCATGCTTATGCGCAAATTTTTTATAATTAAGAAAGCCCGCATTAGCATAATGCAGGATGAATTTCATGCGCGTGAAAATTGAGAAAAAACAATTTGCCCACAACTTAAAAATAAATAAATACGTGCTTACATAATGACTTGTTTTAAATTTTAATAAAACATATGCAATTTAGTTTCTTTAAAGCATGGTTCAATTGAGAACCTACCAATTAAGAATTCAATTGAGGCATGGAAAGAATTGGTTCAAGTATTGTAATTAGAGCCTTAGAACTCTAAAATAGGTCACGAGTTCATCAATATAAAGTCTCGGGTTTATATAAATTAGTGATAGGCTTTTCAATCAGGAGTCGTAAAGCGATGTGTTTTCTCAGTCAAATTGATGACTTTATTGAAAGTAAATAGCATTCCTTTATATATATGTATCTAATTTTTATATTTTTAATTATTTTAGAATATTACTCCGAAACGCTCAAATAACTTTCAAATTTTTTGAACAAAATCCTGGGAAGGTCAAATTAACTGTTACCAACGTACGTACATACGCATGCCCAGAGAATCATACAGTAGCAAGTATTCTTTTTCAAATTTAATTAAAAAACTATTAACGGGTAAGATTAAAAAATTTGTATGGGTTAGAAGATCTCTAAGTAAATTCATTTCTTGTATTTTTTTGCATTTTTTACTTTTTTTTACAACTCCCCAACAAACTCTGTTGTACAGGTTACAAGATCGGGCATAACTTGAAAAATAAACCAATTAGGATATTAAAATAACGCGTACTGCGTATATTAAGTACAACAATAATTACTACCGTAATAACGTGAGGGGTGTGATCTTGAATTTCGGCCTAAATTAAGCTTAACTCGGGCCGTGGCTCAAAACAACGACCCTGCGCGTTATTACGTGCAAATACGGTACGTATAATAACAAAAATCAACTTGTATGATAATATTGTACAATACAAATTTATACAAATTTGAAAACTTTGTATTCATCAACAAAAACCAACCCTCAGTACTTATTGATTTTTCATAAGCATAATTTTTACAAAGCCATTTTTTAGAATTAATACTATCACTCATTCTAAAATCATTATCAACAAATCATGGACCTTGTGACAATGAACTTTGACTTACACGAATAAAAAGTATAGATTTATTCAAATTTCCATTTTCTAATGAGAAAATAAAACTATCAGGCGTTCTATCATATCCATTACCGTATTCCAGATAAAAAGATTATAACCACAGTAGTCCATTTGTATTCTTGACTTTTAAAACAATTAAATTGTTAGGTATATTATCCCATCGATATGAAATGAAACATCGTCAAAATAATTTCTACTACATCTAAGTAATAGTTTAAATTTATATGAAATTTTTGTGACAATTATAAATCGTCGAACGTCGGCAGCGTGTTGTAAAATAATTATAGAAGAATTTAGTGTAATCATGGATCCTCTTCGAGGAAGAAGTTAAGAATTTCTACGAGTGGGTAAAACTGGAGAAGTTATAGTCATACATGGTATTTATCAAATAATCATCCCACAAACTTTTTTCCAAGAATATTTCGATAATATTTTAAAATATCTAATATAAGGAAGGCAATGTTGATGAGTGGCATTTAAGGACTTAAGTAGGTTTGAAGTTTTAGCTTTTCCCCACAAAATAATCTTGTCCCATATTTTTGATACTTAAAAAGAGAGATCGGAATCAAAAATTATGCTCGAATGTTAAAGTAATTATTCAAACCAAATAAATACCTTTTGCTTTTCCTATTTCGTCATTACCCCTGTTCCTGCTAATAAACAAACAAGGGAGCGTTCGATTGTCAATTAATTAACTCTGTCTAATCGTTATTCAATTTATTTTCCAAGATGCACCAGGGAAGTATTACCTGTATGGGATCTTTGCTATGAAAATGACCCTCCGAGTCTATGTTGATTTTGTGAATAAAAATCAAAGTTGCCAGTCATCAAGTTATCCAATTTGAATGAAATTTTTTTAATTTGTAGATTCTATTAAGATTTACAAAATAAAAAAAGCTTTATTCAAATTGAATTACTAGATGACTGGCAAATTTGATTTTTATTCATAAAATCAACATAGACTCGGAGGGTCATTTTCTTAGCAAAGATCCCATATACTTTTTTTATACTTTGTTGGTTTGGTACTCTTTCCAGTAGTTACTACCAATGGTTAATCCGAATTTCGAAACCCACGGGTTCATGTCATTTGCCCGACAGCCATTTCCCAGAAAATAGTTGTCGGATAATTTGTTGCCGGCAAATGACATTATACCAAATCCCACAGTAACAACAGTCCCATAATACAAGAAAACTATACAACTATCCATAAAAATTATAAAAATGTACAGATTATACATTAAATTAATGAATTTTAGAAGTAAATTTATTTGTAGAATTTATTTCGCCTCGTCATACAATTTTATTAAAATAAACAATACCCTATACCACAAAAAGTCATTCTTTCAAAATTTAACTTATTTATTAATACATATATAAATACATAAGCAAAAATACATAAGTTATTTCTACATATCGTCAATCATGAATTATCTAAATTAAGCAAACTCAATTAAAAAACAATATGATGTTCTTTGCAATAATCTATAGCTTTTTGAATTTTGTGTTGCCGCTTTAATCATCCATTTCTCCCCTTTACTTTTTTCATTATCACTTTCATTAATTATCAAAGTGACTCCCAAATTGTAACTTGCAGTATAATTACATTTCTCTCCAGCTAATCTAAAATAATACGTAGCCTTCTCCTTATCTTGGAGGACACCTTGTCCCGAATAAAGGCAAAAACCATATCTTAGCTGTGCTTCATGATAGCCAGAATCTGCAGATTTTTTATAGAGTATAATTGCAGCTTGTAAGGTTGTTTCAGCATTTTCTGCAAACTCTTCTATAGCTACATCGTAAAATCTTCTCCTAAAAAGATTAGAAGCTGTTAAAATGTCAAATTGTAGGTAAAATCCAATCCAATAAAGTGCAATATGATCTCCTCTCCTAGCATAATTTATGAAGACCTTCCATGCTTCAAGCAAATCACCATCATCTAAATTATGTTGTTGAATTGCTTGTTCTAACGTCAGTTGAGGTTTCTGTCCAAAACGTAAATCATCATCCTCTCCCAGGCGTTCCATACTGTCATCGAGATAATCACTAAATGGGTCGTTTTCTAGGAAAACCACAGATTGAAGGGTGGTTTTAATTTTGAGAAAAATGCGATTAAACTTTGTGCAACTTAAAATTTAATCGCATTTTTCTCAAAATTAAAACTACCCTTCAATCTGTGGTTTTCCTAGAAAACGACCCAAATGAATTCCAAAAATGTATTTGAGAATTATTAACTTCACTAATCATAGATTTTCCTCTGTCAGTGTAGATTACACACCATTTGAGGACAGTATCTTGAACGGTTTGTTCTGTTTTATCATCAATATCATCAATCTCGCAATCAGAACCCTCATCATCAAATCCGTCTTTATCATGCTTTGGATCAGGTTCCGATTCGTCTTTTATTATATCTATTATAATTTTTTCTTCGCCCAGGCTTTAGGTTTAATGCTAGAAAACACCGAATTGTCATTGGAGACAATTGATGTTACCAAAACACAAAATGTATATCGGATAATTTATCGTGAGTTTTCCGTAGAGGACTCTAATATTTCTGTTTTTATTGCTACAAAATCCCTTTGGTTCAGTGAGCACGAACCATATGAGTTTTGTATCTTTTCTGGTTAACCTTAATAAATTAATTTAATAAAATTAATAGATAAATTAATAGATAAAATAACAGAATGTTTCAATTCTTAATATATACCGTATATTGAAATCCTTATCTTTATATATATTAGCGCAGCAACTACTTTTATTCTGATAACTAAACCGGACAGATAAATTAGGATATGTATATTTTATCCAATCACCCTTTTCATCTTTCTTTACGATAGCTCCAAAAATGTGATAGCTATTGTCAATAAGTGAACCAGGGAATCTAATTACGAAAATGTCCTGGTCATCCTTTTGAAATAATTCTTATCCATTAAAAACAATATGATATTTACTAAAAGTATTATCAATAATAGTGCATGTTTTTTTCAGAATCTTGCATAATGGCGTCCAGTCTTCAGAAGAAACAAGGCTCCAATTACTGCTCCAATTTTGATCTTTCTGAGACGCTTTTTCATTAGTTAGATTCAGGAAATTATCAAGCTAAGTGCTAATTTTATCAAGGTAAACAATACTGCCAGTATCACTAATAAAAAATGATGTGTCCACTTTAAATCGTTCACTCCACTCTTTTAAATGTGCTTCAATTTTTTCAATTATTTTGGGATCTTCTATATCATATTCATGTTGAAATGTTTTTGGTAAAGTTCTTGTAGTATAAGATTCAAATTTTTTCGACAGAACTCCTCCTACAGTCCAAGTTCTTGGCAATAAATGTCCATAGTCGTCTCCAAATATTTTGCAAAGATTTTTATATGGCTCATTGCTTTGAAGCGCTGTGTTAACACTATTTGAATATTTCTGTAAGGATTTGATATCCCCAAGATTAAAGGAAAGTTTTGCCATATTGACAATTATTTGGCAGTAAATGGCTCGAGATGGTTGATTTTTAGCAAACTTGAAATCCTCTAAAGAACGGCCAAGTATTTAACTATGTTCAACGAAAGGGATATTATCAAGATCTAAATTGCCATCATCTTTAATGCCATTCTCTAATAAATAGCTTCTTGACGATTTTGGGGTTGTACTAATAAAAGTGTGATTGTTTTGATCTCATCAGTGTGAGGCACTCTCAAAAACTTAAAAGCTGCCTTTTTTCCATGCCCAAGTTTTGATTCGTGTAGAATTACACCATATTGGAGTGAATTATTGTGAAACCAATCCCATAAAAATAATTCAAGTTTAGGTCTTAATGATTTCCATTTTATAAAATCTTTTTTCTCATATTTATCTTGAACGTTAGGAACTAATTCGCCTTCGGGTGCCCCAAAGGGTCTAGAGCCAGTTACAGCAAATAATTTTTCTTGTAAATCATCTGATAGTAATTTGTAAGATGGGATTAGCTTTCCGTAAGATATAACTTTAGCAAATTCGAGATCATATATTCTCGTAAACCAGTTGTATAAGTCGCCAAGGGTATCCATTTCGCCGTCAGTTTCAAGTAGAGGTATTTTATCAAGTGGTACATCTTCAAAAATTTCAGAAGTTTGTCCTTTCCCACAATCAATTCCCCATTTTATATAGCTCTTTAAATATGTCTTGCTTTCATTAGATACGTTTAACCAATCTCTAATTGTGATAATACCTCCAAGAGTGAACTTCGTGAAAACGTAAATGCCATAATAATCAAAAAGGTTTTCTAGAGCCTTTTTACTTTCAATTTCGTTCGAAATTTTAAGTGTATTCTCGATATCATTAACAAAATTATCAGATATGTCAGCTAAAGTTTCGGGCGAAATTGTTTTTCAAATTCCGAAATATTTCGGATTTTGTAAGTGGTCCGAAATAAAAATCCGAAATTCCGAAATTGAGACGAAAACCCGATATAAATCCGATATTCCGATATAAGTCCGATACTCTGATTGGTGAGATATGGATATAAATCATTAACAATTTCATTCTAACGCCAATGAGTTATTAACGGTACACAGTAAGTTACGGTTACAGTTACGGTAAACTTATATAATCCCAATAGGCTATGACGCCGTAACTATAATTAATACTTTTAAATAGGGATGTTAAAAGTTCGGTCCGGTCAGACTCGACTCCAAAAGTCGAGTCTTTATTAACGGTCCCAAGTCAAA